AGTCTTCCATAAGTAGCTAGTGCTGGGGCAGAGAAAATCCTAAATCCTAAACCTGAGATATTTCTGTTTATTCATGGAGTAATTTCAACATTGGTAGGGATATTAGGAGCTAAAGCTGCTTTTCTGCCATCAAAGTGCTGGCTGCTTATGGTCTGAAAGACTTTTGTGTGGTCCTCATGCCCAACTGAGTCACCCATCCCCTCTTAAAAAGGTTGCATCTTTGCAGCCAATACTATGGTCCTGCAGTGGCCCTAGTGATGCAGTCATTCTCGACGGGACCACTAACTGATGGGCAGGAGAGTCCTGAGATGTCTTGTTGTCTCTGGGGCCTTTTCTGCTGCATCTCTGTTAACTAGCAATCTGGCCTGTGCTTACGCTCAATAGGAAAATCTGACTAGAAGTGATGGTGAGCTTTGCAACTTGATTTCTCTACCTTTAAAATGTTTTTGGAAATTGATTTTATCTTAGGTAAAATTGATCTTATCTTAGGTAAAATTGATTTTACCTAAGCATCTCTGATTCACAGGGCCTTATTTGTGACAGTGGGAAGTGCTTTGAGAAGATGCCAAGCATTGCTGGAACCCACATTATGCACTGCCTGTCAGTACCTGAAATATTGTATATGAATGTTTGTTTCCTTACTCACTATCTTCCCTCTACCAGAATGTAAACTGCTGGAGGGCAGGAAGCTTGTTGTAGTCACCACTGTTAGCCCAGTGCTATCAAAACAAACACAATGCCAGTCATGTATTAGATGCTCAATAAATATTTGTTTAATTGAATAACAGACTACAAGCAGTGGGGCAACAAGCAAGCCTATGATGGCATCTTGTGGATTATCTGAAGATCAAGAAATGGAGATGTTGGTCTTCTGTCACTAGGGCCTGACTTGGTTCTCAAGCATTGCTCTCTCCTCTGTGTCAACCTACTGTTCAGAGAAACTCATGCTCCTTAATGAGTGTCCAGCCTGGCTTGTCATCCTCTCTGTGCCACTACCCAGCTGTGACCTTAGATATCTCTTTGAATCTCCATGGGTCTACTCCAGCTCTAAAATATGCCCTTTTTTTTACTTTTTTTTTTTTTTTTTTTTTT